AGCATAAATCAGTTAAACGACGAAAAATTAGGTGTCTATTTGCTTGTGACCACTCATTGTATATCTCAAGACGATTTTTCCAATGAAAGACAATGGTTCGGGATTTAGAAAAAAAATCAATGTTGTAAAATATTATTTCTAGCCTCTTACTTTCAATTTTAAGCTGTTTATTCTTTTATTTTTATTATCTGATTTGTTATGAATGCGATAAATCAATAATGGAAACAACTTTACGATTGAAAAGCTGTGTATATATGTGTGCGTTAATAGAAACATGATATAATCTCGTTCAAAACTTTACATTAGGATTTTAGGAATGAAATTGGAATTCTTATCCTCAGTGTCACATTATGCGCTTGTGCGCTAAACGGCCAGATCACAGACCTCTAGGATTCAGGCTTAGCCGCTTCTAATGTCGGACTATCAAAGGAAGAAAAGCACCCAGCCAGCAGCTTCTGTCGTCAGAAAGCTTTGAATTCAATGACGAGAATGACTGTCTAATGCTTCAACAGTGCAGGACTTTCTCAACAGCCACGTGCGTTGATCTTCGGACCCTACAATACGCAGCCCGAAACGTTAACCACTAGTTCAAGTCTGGTCAGTTTAATAATTTTTATTAAACTTAAGGCAGCCTGTTTAAGCTTGTTATGAAACATAATTTTTTTACTTCCTACAAGCTGAAATAAGCAAAGAAAATAGTTTGCAATGACCTACTTTTTATTAAAAAATAGGACATTGCAAACAATTGTTCGAACATTCGTAGATATATTAGGCCCGGCATGGCCAGGTGGTTAGGGCGCTCAACTCACAATCTGAGGGTCGCGGGTTGGAATCCCCATCACACCAAACACGCTCGCCCTTTGATTAAGGTGTTTACATCTCGAAGAAAGGAGCTGTGAAAATTGGGGGCATATCATCTGCTGTTGGCGCCCCCACAAAAAAAACAAACAAGAAAAAAAAACTTTTTTATAGTGCGACCCTCTATCTAAACATGCGTTTTGTTGCTCCCACCTAAACCACGTATAACCTATTATAACCTGTGAATATACTGTACGCGACATATTCCCATGTTAACTGTCGTTAGCGTATTACTTAATAGAAGTGATATCAGTGTGGCACTTTTTAAAACTTTATTTTTAAATGGGTACTTCCAGATGTAATTTATATGGTCCTATTGTCATAATTACGCCCCAAATTTGTTGTACAACTGGATTACAGGAAAGACAGTTAGTCAACACCATCCACCGCCAACGCTTTAGCTATACCTATCATACTGAATACTGGGATATATTACGCTTGTTTAAATGGGATAAGTGATTAAACAAGTTGCTTCTGCATACTAAAAGAGGCTTTTCAGAAGTTTTCTATTAGATACAATATTTCACTTACTGGATAATATTTACTACTTTCAATGAAAATATGACGAAATTTTAAACGTATCAATTTTAGTTTTGAAATGTGCTTTAAATATCTTTATTACCCAATTACGAAGTGCATCCCAGGTGTATACCAATTTTATAACTGATCAAATATAGAATAATTTCGCTTCTGCCAAAGAGCCACCATGAAATAATGAGTATATATATATCCTCCTCGGTCGCTATAGCTACATTCGTGGATATATATATATATACTCAACGTACTCATAGTTAAAACCCTTTAGCTAATCACGCTAGATAAAGTGGTATCATGTTAATAAAGACTTTTTTTCACTATTGAATAAATAAAAGGTTGTATTATTGTGCAGCAACTCAATTAATTTATAACCAATTCAGGGTATTTATGTCACTATTGGCTACCACGGCAAGCATATTAAAATATAATCTATCATGGATGAGAGAAAACTGCACATTCTGTAGTAGCCCTCTAGGTTATTCTTAGAAATAGCAATGATAATAATAATAATACCAAGAAAGTTGTTTTTTTTTGTCGTGATTAAACGGTATAAAAGATGAAATATTTAAGCAACATTGAGAATGCAAGAAGGGAAATATTTAAACGCAAAATGGAGGGAGATATTAATATCTTATGATAATTTTGTATAAATATATCTACGATTGTTTGTTTTGAATTTCGCGCAAAGCTACACGAGGGCTTTCTGCGCTAGCCGTTCCTAATTTAGCAGTGAAAGACTAAAGGGAAGGCAGCTAGTCATCACCACCCACCGCCAACTCTTGGGCTACTCTTTTACCAACGAATAGTGGGATTGATCGTCACATTATAACGCCCTCACGGTTGAAAGGGCGAGCATGTTTGGTGGGACTGGGATTCGAACCCGCGACCCTTAGATTGCGAGTCAAGCGCCGTAACTAAGCTTCTAATATTGACCTGGAATTATTGATCAAAGAAACCCTCCACATCAAACAGCACTCTCCAACTCTGAACAACATGCAGTCTTCATTTAAATTATACATTTTTTAATATGTTCGTATTACTGATTTTTCGTTCATTTTTTCGTTGTGTTTTCTTGCTGTAGTTTCTCCCCATGATTACTGTTTAGTGTTTTATTTGTTTAATTATCGTTATATTTAGCAACTGTACGTTGAAAATGTATACAGACTGATGTAAATTCATTTCATTCTGTCTTTAGATACTGAAGATGGAATCTGATAGA